AAAACAGAGGTGATGAAGATTCTTGGCCAGCACCAACATCAACAACAACAGACAACAATCAGCCAGCATAAATGGGAGGAACCTGAAAGAAACAACCTCCTTCACCTACCTGGGAAGCATCGTTTCAACTACAGGCCAGCGGAACTGACGAGGATATCAAAGCCAGAATCGGAAAAGCAAGACAGGCTTTCATTACTCTTAAGTCTGTGTAAAGGAGGTCAAAAGCACTCAGCATCAAAAATAACATCCGGGTTTTTAACTCTATTGTGAGGTCAGTGCTACTTACTGTACGTGTCACAGACTTGGCTAGCGCGTCATAAAGAGCATCTCAAGCAAACTTCAGATCTTCATTAACAGTTGTCTTCGCTCAATACCACTCAAGATCAGATGGCCGGCCAGAAAAGATCATCCACAGGGATCGCTGGCAATGAGCGAACCAACCAGGAACCGATTGTGAAACAAATAGGCAGGAAGAAATGGAGATGGATTGGTTGTTCATACGCTGAGGAAACCATCAAGTGACATCACTAGACAAGCCATTGCTCGAGTGGAACCCGAAAGGGAAGCGGCGAGCTGGTCGTCCGAGAGTGGGGTCACTTGAAGGAGGTGATGTGAAGAGGAGATGAAAGCATGTGAGCAGACTTGGAATGGAGTGAAAAAGTTGGCAGAAAACCGAACGCAGTGGAGACGCGCGGCTGAAACCATATGTTCCTCTAGGAATTAAAGGATATACTAATAGTAATAATAACATTGCATTTCTCATATAGATTTTATTCATATACTTCACTCTGTTTCCACTAACTTTTGTTCATTTGGTACATTGAAATTGATTAGGCCATCTTTTTTTCTCTACACTTATTACGCAGTTGGTATTGAAGCGATTGTTGAATGGAAAAAATAGTTGTTACCTACCTCTGTTGTTATCTATTTCAACATTGTCTTACTTTTTTCGATGTTTATTTCTATAGCCATTTTTATCTATTAATGCCGACTGTTAATCAACCTGTTACATTGAATACTATAATTTCAAGTTGGATAAACATATTATTACTGTGAGATAACTATTATGTCTTTTTCTCCGGGTAATTACACATCAGACAGAAATAATTATAGTGTAATTATTTTAGTTTCTTATTTGTTTTGTATGTATACGTCCTACTTTACAAAACGAATCACCTATAAGTATTTTCAGTGTATGCTATCATTATTATTTCTCTTATGAGTGTTGCTATAAGACTTTGGTTCAGTGATCTTTTTTTAATAGATCTTATAACCAGTAGAAATCCTTAACTTGAAACTCAATCTACCCTACTGTACATAGGTAGAATCTCTTACAAAGTAATTTTTGATTCTATATGGGCTCACTGTATATATATGTAAACTCACTACTTTCGACACTAATGTTGGTTTTATGATATTCATCCCGGCCGATAACTGCTACCTTGTCGTGGTGGTCGGGCTTGAATACCGCAATCACCCGATATGCTAAACTGACTAGGAATCTGTCCCTGCAGGTCCTACCATGTCAAGAAAGCTGTTTGGATAGCAGTTAAACTAAAAGCAGTTACCATGGGGTACATGGGCTCCAGTATCCAATCGGATCAAATGGTGTATGAACCCATATGGGACGCCGGAAACCATGGGAATGCAGCTCCTGATGCTGCTCCGCTGCCTTGCAAATTAGACTCCAAGTCAAAAGCTTGGGGGTGGTCCCTTAAGAAAACCACCTGCTTCAGTCTGGGCGCCCGGGCAGTATCTCAGCGCTCACACAATGAATTGAATGAAGCAACAAACAATCAATGAAACTTATCGCGTGCTATTACACGTGTTGCGATTTCCTTCTTTCTTCCCTTCCCGGTGATAGTTAACGAATACTGTTTGAACTTGTTAAGCATGACTGTTTTCCTTCCAGATGAAGTTCTTTATTCGTTCTCTACTTCTCTTTCTCTTCTTTCTTTTTTTCTTTTGATCTGTGTTGTTTTATTATTATTGTGTGGCGCATCCTTCTTGGTGCCATATTATACCAAGTTTTTATGCGTTTAAATAAATAAATAATAAATAATAATTTATGATATTCATAATATTACAGTTTTGAGTCATGGATCACTCCAAAACTAGTCATTTCGTGATGTGATTTGAAGTATCATGATTTAGATTATAAAACAAAACGCTGTATTCATCACCACATTGAGTAATTTTATAGTTCAACTAGTTGTTTCAAGAAGCAAATATTACTCAGTCTTCATGTTTACGGACGAATGATAAGAATCGGAGTCTACAGGGGATTTGTCGATTGTCGTATAAATTTGTTTTAGTAAATATATTAAGTAACTTCCAGTCTTCAAGTGTTGGTTTGTAGGGATTTGGTTGATTGGTTACAGGATTTCATCATGAGCTGACATTAGTTAGAGAACCATTTGGAAATCTGGGAGTACTGGACAGCTGTTTCGTACTAGTTTGAGACTCTTCATCAGTATCGGCAGAAGTTAGAATTCAAGGACCATTGGATCGGGTCCTAGTGGCTTAATGCTATACGAGCTCGCCTTGTAACCGGAACGTCCTGGGTTCGAATCCCGGTGGGTGCGTACTGATGAAGAGTCACAGACCAGGACGAAACAGCTGTCCAGTACTCCCAGGTTTCCCAATGGTTCTCCAGCTAATGTCACGTCATGATGAAATCCTGAAACTTCCAGTCTGTTCTTGTTGCTTTAAAGGTTTGATTAAAGTGACACTTTGAATTAATTAGTTGCTGGTAGGTAAGCAAGTTGATTCAGTTTGTAAGCACAGCGATAAGGATAAAACTTGGACACTGTGATAGAGTATAATTCCATTATACAGGAAATTTATTTTGATAAAATCACACAGTGTTATACAATAATATTTTATTGATCACGTTTCGAGCACAATTTATCGCTCATAATCATTCAGTCAAGGTACTCAAACAACTTTGTGACTTGGTTTATATACACGAGTAAAAAAAATTGGTAATTAGACATATGAATCAATGTAATGTTCAATAGATCTGTGTGAAACAGAAAATAAAATAAAGTACATTCGTAAACAATATTAGTGTTGTCAATAAAATTGAATACGATGGGAATTACGGCGAGAGTGTATAAGTAGCTTGATATAATTACCAGCGATAAATTGTGCTCAAAACGCAATCAGTAAATATTACAGCATAACACTGTGTGACTTTATCAAAATAAATGTTATCCATAATGGAATTCTAAGCCCAGGTATTTAGTCAACTAATCCGTGAAAAGGTATTTCTTTGATCTTTAATAATTTTGCATTTGATAGTAAATGAAAATAAAGAACCGCATTCGTGCGTCGGTGGCGCAATGGTAGAGGACTCGCCGACCACGCCTCACGTGGTCCGGGTTTCAATCCCCGGCCAAAGACACTCCTTTACATCGCTAAGCCAGTAATAAGACTGGTAAAGAAGGAAGGTTGGAGCGCATGAGACTAGAAACCCCATCCCATAAAAATAAACACCACTGCTACCGGAACTTCAAGCCCCTAGCTTGAAGCACTATGTTCCACTGGGAATGTACAGGAATTAAAAAAACACATTGGAAGGTACATATTTCCTAGATGTCTGCTCCCTCTGGTTTTGTCTCATCTAAGCGGATGTTTCACGATAATAAAATAACCAATTATACAGGAAATGGTTACTGAATACTTAACACCAGTTATGTAGACTTGACAATTTTTTTAACTTGTGTAAGACAACACCATTATTACATTTAACGCGTATAAGTGTGGGAAATGGATCAATATTTTGATTGTGTTTGTGTTTGTCTAGCTATGATCGATAGATAATAAACTACACTATTACTGGAGTATTGCATTATCTAGTACAATGCCTATTTTGCGTTTCGTGACTATGTCACTTTGATTAACACTACTAATAATACTAAATAATATTTATAAATATTTATTTTACGTTAGCTTTTGTATTTTCTATTGATTGATCATGTTGGACCAAAAGGTTCGGCTTATGTTGATACATGAGCTCCCAGTACGCAAGCTTTGATGATGTCCGAGGATTAACATGATGATATTTGTTGGATGGTGACTAACAGTTATAATTCAGAATGAACAATTCTTTACCTGGATGTACCTGCAATACTCAGTGACTGACGGTATCGTCACTGAGATTCGAACCCTACTCCCATAGTTTCAAATGTCAAAGCGATTAACCATCCATTAAATAACATCATGTTAATTATACTGATTTGTAAATTTGTTCATATAGTCAAATATGTAATTCAGTTATAAATCAATGATTCATACAAGTTTGTATAATCACTTTCTAATTCTATGTACAGTTATATGTGATGAATTAATATGCAGTATTCTAAGTCTATTGATTATCCCCATACATGTGACAATAACTAAATAGTACGTTTATTAATGTGTATCTCAGTTTGCTTGAGAATGACAAACACATAAGTAAGTTTGCTGTCTTACACATGAGCTGTCCTAATTATACAAGACTAACACTACAATCCGCATAGTTCTTGTTTGCTTCTGGATACAGATTTGACTTAGTACTACTTCTTAATTCGATAGAAAAGAAAAAGCACATTATTCCTTAGACATCATCGAAGCGTCTGGACTAGCAGCCGACATGTCCACAGAGAGCGAATATTTCAGCCTAGTAGATAGATAACGTCCTGGCATTTGAAACAATGGGCACGGGACTCGAGTCTCATTAGGGACACCATCACTCACTGGGAATGCACCCACATGCAGATGATGTGTCTCAGACAAGACGAAATACGCATCCTGGATTCTACTACTGATCACCATCCAGTATGTATACTGTCATATTACGAACAGTTGTTAAATTCCAGTCAGGCAATTTTCAGACGTTCTCATTTTCATAAGGTCATTATTGAGTTGTTAATGTTTTGTCTTCAATAAATCTGCTATAAGAATTTTATTTCTTTTTGTTTCCTTTCCTCTCTAATTTTTCTACTTAACTTTTACAGACACATGTTGGTATATACGCTTTTATACCATTTATAGTGGTTCTGATAGCTGTCCTGATATTTATTGTACGCTATTTACCCGAAACAAAAGGCAGAACTCCAGATACTATTCAAGCCTTCTTTATGCATGCTTGTAGCAGTCGTATAATTGATGAAGCCTACGAAAATTCTTCATTCACTGATACTACACAAGCTGCAAGTTAGTTTGTGCCAACGCATAAATTTGTTGTTCATGTATTTAAATATTATCTTGATAAATTTGAATTAGTCCATAATATCAACTGCTAATTTACAACACTCTGTGTGTGCGTAGTTCACATAGACTGATATCGGATTGAGTATTAGTATAATATTTTAAGCAATTTATCAATCAGTGTAATTGCCATTGGTGGTATACTAGGAGAAATCTTCGTGTATTATATATATATATATAGTTTTGCCTAAAACACTCTTTTTGTACAATGTAGGATCAGATCTGTAGTCTTCATTTTTGATGTGGCTGTGTTCTCTGAGCAGCTTGATAGTTAATTTACGAAGCTTTCATCACCCTACTGGGTGACATCTTCAGCGCATACTTCAATCCGTTGAAGTGAGCTTTTAGATTTCTCCACGAGTTCACCATTAGTCATCTCTCCTGGTGACTTTGGACGTGATTGGTTGTTTATGTGTGTTTTCACACCTTCTAGGCAGCTACTTGTATTGGAACTGATAGTTTCTTTGACTTGAACTTTGACCCTTTGTGTGTGAGTGAGGTTTTTTCTTATCGGTTGATAAATTTTGTCTATCTCGATGTGTCTATTGATTGATGATTCACTGGAATATCAGGTAGGTTTCTAAAAATTCTCTAGCATTCTCGTTGTTTCCTTTGTCTAATATTTGAACGTTGTCCCAGTCGTATTGATGTCCGTGGTTGTCTGTGTGTAGTGATATGAGTGATGGAGTGGATATCATTGCAGCACTCCCACTTTAAGGAAAATCGAAGAAAAATATCTCATGGACATCTTCCATGCACGTCCCCTTCGTCCTCGTATCCACGAACATAAGGTAGCCGTCAAACGACATGATATCCACTCCATCACTCATATCACTACACACAGACAACCACGGACATCAATTCGACTAGGACAACGTTCAAATATTAGACAAAGGAAATAACAAGAATGCTAGAGAATTTTTAGAAACCTACCTGATATTCCAGTGAATCATCAATCAATAGACACATCGAGATAGACAAAATTTATCAACCGATAAGAAAAAACCTCACTCACACACAAAGGGTCAAAGTTCAAGTCAAAGAAACTATCAGTTCCAATACAAGTAGCTGCCTAGAAGGTGTGAAAACACACATAAACAACCAATCACGTCCAAAGTCACCAGGAGAGATGACTAATGGTGAACTCGTGGAGAAATCTAAAAGCTCACTTCAACGGATTGAAGTATGCGCTGAAGATGTCACCCAGTAGGGTGATGAAAGCTTCGTAAATTAACTATCAAGCTGCTCAGAGAACACAACCACATCAAAATCATCCACCTAAGTTACAAATCTTCTCCATCGTAGTCTTCATTTTTTCATGCGATAAAAGCCTTGTGTGTCTCAAGTGTTTCGAAAATCCTTCGGTAGATTCCAAGAAACTTCGTGTTTTCTGGCGATTTTGTTAACGCTGTGCATATTTTTTTTTTACTTTAGAACAGCATAAAATGTATTAGAACACAGTTTGAGTGAACAAATGTTGTTTAAACCTCAACTAATGCTGTATTGTACTGGTTGATGAAACGAAGTATATGATGATAAAAGATAAAATGGAGTCCCATGAATGAAGTAACATGGTGCTAATGTTGAGGCATCAGTCTAATTATTATTATCATCCCACCCTACAAGTTACTTATATGAACTCTCTGTACCTACCCCTCTCACCTCCTTCAATAAATGAGAATATTTTTCATCAACAGAATAGGTTGATTCAGACAACACGTTGATGCTGACACTATCTGAAACAGTCTTCTGTTAGTAAACTGTTACTGATCTTCAAGAGTTGATCTGTGGCAATTTGACTGGTTTCACAATGGATCACGGATTAATATCGGTTAGAGAAGTATTTAAAACCAGGGAGAACTGGTCAGCTATTCAGTCCTAGTTCGGGACTCTTCTTCAACACACTACCATGATTGGACAGGAGGTCGAACCTACAACCTACTGATGTCATTAACAATGTTCTTTCAGAAAATTAAACTCTACTTTGATTTTCTCACTAGTTTATTCATTCTAACAGTGTAATATAATCTGAAAATGTATACAGTAAGCTGAAATAGTCAACTAACCAAGCATTTCTTATTTAGAAGACAAAGAATATGCTTTTCGATAGTTTCCTCTTCCTGTTCTACAATTATATATATATATATATATATATATATATATATATATAAATGTATAAATATATATATATATATATATGTTTATATACATAGAACATTCTAGAATAGTAGTCAATGACAGTATTAGTGTTTTTTCAATAATATCGATATGTAAAGTTAGATCAATGGAATTACAGTTCATTAAATATGCTCAGGTTGTAATAATAATAAAACTATAATAGCAAGTAGATTATCAACTAAGATTAAGGAGATTTCTACAAAAAATTGGGAATTTTTAGAACCTCGTTGGCCAAGGTAAAGACATTATCTGAACTAGCTTCTTTTGGACGCACAAATTAGGCTTCTTAATGTGAATTCCAACGGCGTTCGGGAGTAAAAGACAAACTGCCTAATTTCGCCTCTTCCATGTGTTTCTACCAATTTAACTGCTCCTGTGGAATGAGCCAGTTACATAGGCCGTACACAATTAGGCATGTTACTCGTCGGATTTCCGAACATCACCCTGCGTGGTTAAGTAAAGTACAAACAAAATCAATTCGTAGAGCTATTCTATCTCATCTTGTGGATACAGAACACAAGACTGATGTCAACCAGGCTTTCATAGTCATTTACCGCATACCAGCAAAGCTTAACTTCGTCTTAAGAGTTCGTTTACTAAATATCACTGAGGCCGTTGGGATCCACACTAAGAAGCCTAACTTATGTGTCCAAAAGAAGCTAGTTTAGACATTGTCCTTACCTTGGCCATCTAGGTTCGAATGATCCTTATTTTTTTTTGTAGGAATTTCCTTAATTTTATTTGATATTCTATTTGCTAATATATTTTTATTATCAATATAATTTATGCATCCTTAATGAACTGTAATTCCATTGATCTTACTTAACAAATCGACAGTATTTAAAAACACCAATATTGTTACTGACGTCTTATTCTAGAATATTCTGTATATATATATATATATATATATATATATATATATATGTAGAGCCGGAAGAAGAGATTATAGACAAGAATATTCTCTGCTCAATTATTTAGTTTTTTATGAATGTGTGAATGAATATTTTCACTATATTGATGTCGATTTGTTATGATCAATGAAATTGCAGTTCAAGAAGCATAAGTTATAATAAACATAAAAGTAATTCCATATTAGTTTGTGGAAGCCAGGCAGAGCTGCACTCCCAGCATTATTTCCTCGAGTGGTACTTTTGTCCTAACTTCGAGTTATTGGTCAGAAATGTGTTCCACAGTATTTAAATTCCAAGGGAAAATATAGAAGCAAACTGAGGGAGTTCCCATAGGATCACCAATATCCCGGTTGTAGCAGATATATTCTTGGATAGGTGGGAAAGCATAGTGATTGAAACGTTCACCCCCACCCCAAAAGTATGGTGGAGGTATGTAGATGACACATTTACTGTACTCAGAACACAAGATATAGATAGATTTTTCGAACACATCAACTCGAAGGTAGAGGCAATTCAATTCACTTATGAATTGGAAAGTCAGGAAGGGGAGCTTCCAATGTTAGATTGCAACGTAAAAAGGAAAGAAGATGGGAAGTTAAACACTAGTGTTTACAGAAAACCCACACATTCAAACAGATACTTGGACTTCAGATCATCCCATTCTGTCAGTAAAAATAGGATTGGTGAAATGTTTAAGAGAAAGACCACAAAAACTAAGTAGCACCGAGGAAAATCTGAGGCAAGAGGTGATACACATAAAAGAAACCTTGAAACTTAATAATTATCCGGACAAATTAGTCAGGAAATATGTAAGGAAAACTAAAAATAAATAATAATAGTAGTGATAGTGATAATAATAATAACAGTAATAATAATGATAACAATAATAATGATAATAATAATACTGGCAATAATAATAATATTAATGACGACACCGACAATACGGAATTTAAATCATCAACAGTAATTCCATACAAGGAAGGAACCTCGGAAACCTTACGCAGAATTCTTAACAAGACAGGAATAAAAGTGGCTTGCATTCAAACCCACAAACTCAATTAGAAACAAGCTTTGTCGGTTAAAGGATCCTGCCAGTGAAGCCTTTAAAACAAAACAATTTAGTTTATCTAATACCTTGCCTGCGATTATTGTCAGGTCAAATAAATAGGTCAAACTAGTAGGACAGGGACAGTCAGACTAGCTGAACATAAAAACTTGACAAAATCTAGATTTTCTTTCTATAGTTTGGTTTGTAAGGATTAGTTATGTTTTACGAGTTGATCACGGATTGATATCAGTTAGAGAACCATTGAAAACCAGGGAGTACTGGACAGCTGCTGTTTCATCCTAGTTTGGGAATCATCGGCAGTACGCACCCACTGGGTTTCGAACCCAGGACCTTCCGGTTACAAGGCAAGCTCGTATACCATTCAGCCACTGGGACCCGATTCAATGGCTCGTGAATTCTAACTTCTACCAATTCGTGATTTAGCGCGACCCCAACCATTGTCGTTGGTGGGACATCCATCCACACACGTGACATCTAATTGGACCTCACTGGTCACGACTTCTCACTAGAACTCAGGAAACTCCAGCCTGTAGCAAGTCACTAGCGAGCATCAGATTAACTTTCTATAGTTTGGTTTGTAAGGATTAGTTATGTTTTACGAGTTGATCACGGATTGATATCAGTTAGAGAACCATTGAAAACCAGGGAGTACTGGACAGCTGCTGTTTCATCCTAGTTTGGGAATCATCGGCAGTACGCACCCACTGGGTTTCGAACCAGGACCTTCCGGTTACAAGGCAAGCTCGTATACCATTCAGCCACTGGGACCCGATTCAATGGCTCGTGAATTCTAACTTCTACCAATTCGTGATTTAGCGCGACCCCAACCATTGTCGTTGGTGGGACATCCGTGATCAACTCGTAAAACATAACTAATCCTTACAAACCAAACTATAGAAAGTTAATCTGATGCTCGCTAGTGACTTGCTACAGGCTGGAGTTTCCTGAGTTCTAGTGAGAAGTCGTGACCAGTGAGGTCCAATTAGATGTCACGTGTGTGGATGGATGTCCCACCAACGACAATGGTTGGGGTCGCGCTAAATCACGAATTGGTAGAAGTTAGAATTCACGAGCCATTGAATCGGGTCCCAGTGGCTGAATGGTATACGAGCTTGCCTTGTAACCGGAAGGTCCTGGGTTCGAAACCCAGTGGGTGCGTACTGCCGATGATTCCCAAACTAGGATGAAACAGCAGCTGTCCAGTACTCCCTGGTTTTCAATGGTTCTCTAACTGATATCAATCCGTGATCAACTCGTAAAACATAACTAATCCTTACAAACCAAACTATAGAAAGTTAATCTGATGCTCGCTAGTGACTTGCTACAGGCTGGAGTTTCCTGAGTTCTAGTGAGAAGTCGTGACCAGTGAGGTCCAATTAGATGTCACGTGTGTGGATGGATGTCCCACCAACGACAATGGTTGGGGTCGCGCTAAATCACGAATTGGTAGAAGTTAGAATTCACGAGCCATTGAATCGGGTCCCAGTGGCTGAATGGTATACGAGCTTGCCTTGTAACCGGAAGGTCCTGGGTTCGAAACCCAGTGGGTGCGTACTGCCGATGATTCCCAAACTAGGATGAAACAGCAGCTGTCCAGTACTCCCTGGTTTTCAATGGTTCTCTAACTGATATCAATCCGTGATCAACTCGTAAAACATAACTAATCCTTACAAACCAAACTATAGAAAGTTAATCTGATGCTCGCTAGTGACTTGCTACAGGCTGGAGTTTCCTGAGTTCTAGTGAGAAGTCGTGACCAGTGAGGTCCAATTAGATGTCACGTGTGTGGATGGATGTCCCACCAACGACAATGGTTGGGGTCGCGCTAAATCACGAATTGGTAGAAGTTAGAATTCACGAGCCATTGAATCGGGTCCCAGTGGCTGAATGGTATACGAGCTTGCCTTGTAACCGGAAGGTCCTGGGTTCGAAACCCAGTGGGTGCGTACTGCCGATGATTCCCAAACTAGGATGAAACAGCAGCTGTCCAGTACTCCCTGGTTTTCAATGGTTCTCTAACTGATATCAATCCGTGATCAACTCGTAAAACATAACTAATCCTTACAAACCAAACTATAGAAAGTTAATCTGATGCTCGCTAGTGACTTGCTACAGGCTGGAGTTTCCTGAGTTCTAGTGAGAAGTCGTGACCAGTGAGGTCCAATTAGATGTCACGTGTGTGGATGGATGTCCCACCAACGACAATGGTTGGGGTCGCGCTAAATCACGAATTGGTAGAAGTTAGAATTCACGAGCCATTGAATCGGGTCCCAGTGGCTGAATGGTATACGAGCTTGCCTTGTAACCGGAAGGTCCTGGGTTCGAAACCCAGTGGGTGCGTACTGCCGATGATTCCCAAACTAGGATGAAACAGCAGCTGTCCAGTACTCCCTGGTTTTCAATGGTTCTCTAACTGATATCAATCCGTGATCAACTCGTAAAACATAACTAATCCTTACAAACCAAACTATAGAAAGTTAATCTGATGCTCGCTAGTGACTTGCTACAGGCTGGAGTTTCCTGAGTTCTAGTGAGAAGTCGTGACCAGTGAGGTCCAATTAGATGTCACGTGTGTGGATGGATGTCCCACCAACGACAATGGTTGGGGTCGCGCTAAATCACGAATTGGTAGAAGTTAGAATTCACGAGCCATTGAATCGGGTCCCAGTGGCTGAATGGTATACGAGCTTGCCTTGTAACCGGAAGGTCCTGGGTTCGAAACCCAGTGGGTGCGTACTGCCGATGATTCCCAAACTAGGATGAAACAGCAGCTGTCCAGTACTCCCTGGTTTTCAATGGTTCTCTAACTGATATCAATCCGTGATCAACTCGTAAAACATAACTAATCCTTACAAACCAAACTATAGAAAGTTAATCTGATGCTCGCTAGTGACTTGCTACAGGCTGGAGTTTCCTGAGTTCTAGTGAGAAGTCGTGACCAGTGAGGTCCAATTAGATGTCACGTGTGTGGATGGATGTCCCACCAACGACAATGGTTGGGGTCGCGCTAAATCACGAATTGGTAGAAGTTAGAATTCACGAGCCATTGAATCGGGTCCCAGTGGCTGAATGGTATACGAGCTTGCCTTGTAACCGGAAGGTCCTGGGTTCGAAACCCAGTGGGTGCGTACTGCCGATGATTCCCAAACTAGGATGAAACAGCAGCTGTCCAGTACTCCCTGGTTTTCAATGGTTCTCTAACTGATATCAATCCGTGATCAACTCGTAAAACATAACTAATCCTTACAAACCAAACTATAGAAAGTTAATCTGATGCTCGCTAGTGACTTGCTACAGGCTGGAGTTTCCTGAGTTCTAGTGAGAAGTCGTGACCAGTGAGGTCCAATTAGATGTCACGTGTGTGGATGGATGTCCCACCAACGACAATGGTTGGGGTCGCGCTAAATCACGAATTGGTAGAAGTTAGAATTCACGAGCCATTGAATCGGGTCCCAGTGGCTGAATGGTATACGAGCTTGCCTTGTAACCGGAAGGTCCTGGGTTCGAAACCCAGTGGGTGCGTACTGCCGATGATTCCCAAACTAGGATGAAACAGCAGCTGTCCAGTACTCCCTGGTTTTCAATGGTTCTCTAACTGATATCAATCCGTGATCAACTCGTAAAACATAACTAATCCTTACAAACCAAACTATAGAAAGTTAATCTGATGCTCGCTAGTGACTTGCTACAGGCTGGAGTTTCCTGAGTTCTAGTGAGAAGTCGTGACCAGTGAGGTCCAATTAGATGTCACGTGTGTGGATGGATGTCCCACCAACGACAATGGTTGGGGTCGCGCTAAATCACGAATTGGTAGAAGTTAGAATTCACGAGCCATTGAATCGGGTCCCAGTGGCTGAATGGTATACGAGCTTGCCTTGTAACCGGAAGGTCCTGGGTTCGAAACCCAGTGGGTGCGTACTGCCGATGATTCCCAAACTAGGATGAAACAGCAGCTGTCCAGTACTCCCTGGTTTTCAATGGTTCTCTAACTGATATCAATCCGTGATCAACTCGTAAAATCTAGATTGGTTGACCCAAATAAGATAAGAAATCTAGAGAATAGTTCAGCTATATTACTACATGCAGTTACACACAACACAACCATACAATAGGATTGGATAAGATGACAGTTTTAAAATCTAAGGTCACAGGGTATAGGGAGAGATTGATAACGGAAGCTTTGTTTATCGAATCAACTGCAATTACATGTAATAGAAATGACTCATCACCTGTCCCTGATATCTGGAAAATTCTACTCCCCCAAGGACGACAAATAGGAGAAAACAAAGAAAACTATAAAACTGAAGTTTTGAGGTCGTGTGATTATAATTGGCGATAATGATTATGAACATTAAATTTTGTTCGAAACCTTGTCATCCAGTAAATAATACTGTTTCACTGTCTGTGTAATACATCTAATAAACAAACTAATATGGAATTACTTGTTACCACAGTGCCTAAGTTTTACACATATATTTATAAGCATAAAAGTGTAATGCTAAATAGAATATTAAATAAAATTAAGGGAATCTCCCCAAAAAATTAAGGATCATTAAAACTTTGATGGCTAAGGTAAGGGGAGGGTTTGAAGCAACCAACTTCTTTTGGATACATAGATTAGACGACTTCTTAACGTAGATTCCAACAGCCTCAGCTATATGTAATAGCTGAACTCTTGAGGTATACGGTAGATGCCTTTGAAGGCCTTGTTTACATCAAATCTGTGTTCTCTATCTACGAGATGTGACAGTAAAGAACTATAAATAGACTTGTTTTCTCCCTTACTTAACCATGCAAGATGATATTTGGGAATCCGCTGACAAACACGCCTAATTGAACGGTCTAAGTAACTGGCTCCACAGTCACAGTCAAACTGATCGATTTTATTATTATTATTATTTTATTCCTGTATGTTCCCATTGGGACATAGGGCCTCAAGCGCAGAAGCCTGAAGTTTCGGTAGGTGCGTTGTTTATTTTTACGGGATGGGGTTGCTAGTCTCATGCCCAACCTTCCCTCTTTAACAGTCTTATTACTGGCTTAGCTAGGTCAAGGAGTGTGTCTGTGGCCGGGGATCGCAACCCAGACCACGTGAGGCGTGGTTGGCTAACATTCTACCGCTGTGTTACTGACGCACACAAACTAATAGATACACATGGAAAAGGTGAACTATAATTTCAGTGATCTTAACAAATCAATATTATTTAAAAAAACAGCAATATTGTCAGTGAGGACTATTCTAGAGTATTCTGTGTGTTTTTGTAGCCGGAAGAGGAAATTATCGAAAAGAGTATTCATTGCTCAACTTTTCTTTTGTCTTCTAAATGTTTGAATGAATATTTTCGCAACATTTCTTGACTGTTCACTGTTTATTTTCCCATTTTAGTACAAGAAGACAGACAGACGCAGATTAGTTTAATAACCTAGAGTATATATATATATATATATATGTCCGGGAATCTCACGTCGAATCAACCGCACAATCGTTCTCATATTGTTCTTTCAACTACTTTCTAACCGTGTCTCATTTTTATTTCCGGCTTTGTGTATATTTCTTATTTCTAAATTTCATGATAATGTGCACGTATTACCTTACTTTAAGTTTCGCCTATTTTTTTCGTTCCCTCACACTTGGGTTACTCTAACCTGTTATTAGTCTCCCTCTTTCTCTCTCTCTCGCTTGACAGTTACTTTCTTTTCTTTTTCAACTTATAAAGTTTTAATTACTCAATATTTATTTATTTGGTCAACTATCTGGTTATTCTTAATATCATGAATATAATTGTGCTGAATCATGATATATGCAATATCTTTGTATTGTTAATGGAATGTAATCATAACAGAGGCTGTTGTTGTTGTCGTTGTTCACCTTATTTTTAAAATAATTAGATATTTTTCTGTCTATTTGAGTTTTTAAAAAAGTATGACAGCATTATTTTTTGTTTTTTAGTTTTCAATAATAAAATTTACATTAAAAGAATTTCAGTTTTTATGTGATTACCTTTATGTTTCTACTAACACATTACATAGAGAGTAAGGTTGTGGTGAGAGCAGGCTGCTAGCCAATCGGTAGACATTAATCTACGTCAATGTCTATGTCACTAATATTGGCCGTGAGAAAATATGAACAAGGCTGATTCAACAACCAATCACAGCAAACTTAACGTGGGCAAATATGATTCGCAGATAGATGGCTCCACTTTTTGATGTTACCCGAAACAACCAATCAGAAGACTGCGTTTGTCTACTTGAATAAGCTATAATAATGTATAGGAAATATATATAAATACGTGTTGATTTCCGTAATAAAACGATCTGTTGCCTGGGCCTTGTCTTCTGTTGTTACAAGGTGAAGAGTAAGTTATTGTAGGCTGATATGTGTACTTCCTGTGTATGCTGAATATTAAGCGTCGGTGGCACAGTGGTAGAATGCTCACCAACCATGCCTCACGCGGTCCGGGGTTCAATCCCCAGCCTCAGGCTCATTCCTTTACCTCTTTAAGCCAGTAATAAGACTGGTAAAGAGGAGAAGGTTGGCCATGAGGCTAGATACCTCCATCCTGTAAAAAATTAAATGACGCTGCTACCGAAACTTCAAACTTCTAGCTTGGAGCCCCATGTTCCACTGGGAACGTAAAGAAATGAAAAAAGGATACTCAATATTTGATGGAGAGGAAGTAAACCAAATAACTGGTTGATGGTTTTAAATTTCAGCGTATTTCACGAATTTCGTCTTTGGTTTTAGTGAAATGACGTGAATAAATGTTCAAACAGGCATTATAAGTGAAAACTTGGAAAACACGCAATATGATTACGTAATACTGAATTGTGGAGGCTAATATTATAATTCATAGAAAATTCCCATTGAGACATATATAGAAAATCAACACAACTAATTCAGAGAAGAGAGACTCTTTTCAATAAATTTATTATCAAGCTGTACAATCGTACATATTTACGGTTTTTAATAAATTATATACCGGGTGAGAGAATTGAATCATAGGTGTGAATGCATAAAATAATAATAATAGTATGAAATGCAATTAAATTGTTTGTGATTCTAATCATGGTTCAATGTGAAGTAGCGAAACAATTAATGTCATATTTAGAAGAATTCACTGGATGTGTAGGAATTGGAAGCGGTGTGAAATAATTGGATTAGTAAGCAAAAAGAATAAAAATAAAAACGCTACGTAACATTGTGTGAAATTTGATAACATAGAATTTAACTTTGCAAGACAGAATTGATTTAGAATGACAAGTGGAATGAGTGAAATAATACCGGAGACAATTCGAAGCGAGAATAGTAACAATCGAGGTAATAAAGGAAGAGTATATAAACTGAATAGAGAAAAAGAAAAATTTGTAGAGCCAAAATATGAATTGGGATTACCACTTTTTATCATGGAGGGATACAAACCATGAAAGTTCGGGGAGAGGGTTTGAAGGAACTTCTTCTGTATACAGAGATCTGGCTTTTCTATTTCGATGGCCATATCCGCTTCAGCAATACAGATGGTTCAGAGAAGTAGTGATTTGGGTAAATTACTTTTCATCGTGTAGATGACTTTGAAGGTGGAGGCTATATAGATAGGGTAACCATTATCGATTAGATGTTCAATGATCGCGCACATATATAACCCGTGTTTTAGTTCATTATTGTTTATTTATGTCATTGTGGAAACATATCAACTACTCTTTGTTGTACCATAATAAATAATTTTTATCAATATAAATTCTTAACATGACAATGGTAGGTTTTTCGAAATTGTATACCTTCTGTCATAAGCAATAAGCTGATCTGTGACATGCTCTTACTTCAGATTTATTGATTGAGGATAAAAGGCTTGGAGCCTATGTTAATCCTCTGTTAATACTTTATTTAAATAACCTTTTAATTTTATAGCGGTAAGCTGCTTTGTAACCTGAGTGTACCAAATTCAAAATATCAGATAAAATATGATGAGTGAGTTTATGAAATGCCCTAACAACAGCGCTATTGTAGCGTTGCTATGTTCATGTAATAACACAAATAATCTATTATTTCGATATTTATACATTAAATTATGAATAAGTAAAGTTTTCGAGGTATTCATTTACACGGCTTCAGAGTCTTGCTAGTGTCTGTGACATAAATATTGCTTCACATAGTCATAGTTACGCTTCAGACTTCAAATGTAAACATGTACAGCTGCATTTTTCACGATTTCATGCAGTTATGTGCTGTCTATTCAATCAGCAATTTTTCGTTTTTCCTTGTGTTCAAGTGGCGCTGACTTAAACTGAGGGTATTTAATTTATTTTGATAAAGTCTCACAGTGTTTTACAGTAATATTTACTGATAACCACGTTTTGAGCACAATTTATTACAGCTTATAATCATATCAAGTTACTCAGACAACTTTCCAGCTTCGTTTATATGATTCCAATATTTCTCATCTTTTGATTTGATTGGTAGTAATATTTCCCATATTTCCGGTAGGAGCAATGAATCATCCCGATTGGACGTGTTGGGTGTAGATAAGAGTAGCTGGATTATACTCTGCCACAGTGCACAAGTTCTATTCTTATATCAATGGGGGTATTTAAGCTATGCCGTATCATCGCTCAGATATTATAACTCTTAAAAACTTGATTAGTTTAAGATATATTAATTAAGTGATCTTCAATTATTTGTCTGTAAGCTTATCTTTTCTAAAGGGTAACATATTCTGTTAGGAAACCTTCCAATGAATGTAATAAAAATATTGATTGTGAACAACAATAATAAGAAGTACAAAAGCTCTTGAAATTAGAGACTTAAATGTTGAAGGATATAACAGTGTCGACCATGTTATGCGGTTATTTCTAAATCGTATACATTCGGAGGTAAAAATTGGTGGAAGTCTTCAATGAATAAAACACTGTGTAGTAGGGTAGGAGCGTCGGTGGCACACCTGTAGAATGCCCGCCAATCACGCCTCATGTTGTCCAGGGTTCGGTCCCCAGCCGATGTACTCCTTTACCTCGCTAAGCCACTAATAAAACTGGTAAAGAGAGAGGGTTGGCCATGAGGCTAGCAACCCTATCTCATAAAAACAAACGCCTTTGCTACCGAAACTTCAAGCCCCTAGCATGAAGTCCAATGTTACACTGGGAACATAAAGAAATGAAAAAATAGGATACGAGAAATCAACATAAATGTACAATAAATTATTCCAAAATCCATTGTATTCGTTCAGAAGACTGATATGAATAATTTGACCTTTTAGTGTCGAATAATATAAAACTTAGCCTAATAGATGTAGAAAAACGCTATGGACAAGGATATTGCTTTTTTTATTACAACCAAGGGTAAATCTTGAATTCATCGGCACCAAACGTTTCTTTCTTTCCGTAATCTTCTCTTGACACAGAACTAACTACTCTGCCATTGATGCGGTTGTCTTTCAAGCTCAATGCGTGCAGAGGTATCTTGATAAAGCAGATTTTATGGATGCAATGAAATTTGAATAAATGGAGGTAATTTTAAATAACCTGTTTCTATTTCACTCTTGTTGAGTATTATAGTTTCAAGTGGTTAGGTTCAATTCAATTTAAGTACTGATATAATAATAATCTCCATATTTTTGTCTATAGACGAACGATAAAACATTTGTCATTGGGTTTTTCTTCTCACCTATGTTGCTTGTCAATGATAAAAATATTCGTTACCATATTGTTCTCATGTGGTGAGTACTGGCTGTTAGCCAAAATTGGTGGACAGTAATTTACGTCAGTGTTCATATCCTCGATATCGGTCGTTAGAAAAATGAGAACAAGACTTTGCGTTGGCGGATACAGTTAACATATAGATGATCTGACATTCAAGAAACAGCTAAAAAGAGATGCACGGTTAACTTTCTTTGGAAGACAACCAATCAGAAGACTGTGTTTTTCTGCTAACAATAATCTATAATAATGTACATGAAAATCTATAAATTTGTGTTGATTTCCTTAGTAAAGGATCTGTTGCCTTGCCATTGTCTTCTGTTGTTACACTCGTAGCCATTGGTGAGTAATCTTTGAAGACTACAGTTAATCTTATTATGATTATTATTGTCGTACTTAAGTGTGAAGGTAATTTACTGATATTATTCATTCATCTGTCTACAGGCATAAACTTGCTTTTCTAATTGATTTCTGAACACGTAATTTAACTCTTAGTTGTATAGCGTTCGTATACTGTATACTGCTCACACTAGAATAGACCCACATAATGTACAATTGTTAGAAAGCAAGTAAGTGGTAAACGTATTGATATTTTCAAAGCAAATAATTTTGTGCTAATCAATAATAACGCAAATAAAAGCTGCTTTCGAATAAAAATCCACCAATTTGGCTACATTGTATTTACAAGAAGAAAAAGAAAGTGTATGTTATAATTAAAAAAATTAATTTTAATCAAT